ATGTATGTATGTATGTATGTACCCACACACCACACACACGCAGCTTGAGTCGAGCTTCGTTGTTGATTCGGTGCAGGATGGTTCCCAACAATCCTTCATACTGAGCACGCCGGCTATGCACTAGGGCAGTTGATCTCAAATCTTGACAGGAGCTACTGTGAGGTGTAAGAGCACTTCCTTCTTGCAGTAAAACTTCATCTTCATCCATGCCTGAAATTCGAAGAAGAAGATTCTCTCTTCAAAGTGGTAGCAGCACGGAGACCTAGGTCCCTCACTGTCGCAAGTTCGTCAGGACCTGCGGCGGCAAATGAGGTCTTCGCGTTTTGCAGGCTTTTGCAGCAAGGCGCAAAGACCCCGAACAGCGAAGCAAAAAACAAGCCAACCCGAACCTCCTCTATGCTGAAGCCAATCAGCCCCTGCCAACCTCCAAAGCCCCAAACCCGAAGTGTTTGCACAAGGATCTGAGTCATTATCGGAGCTCGGTGTGCCCATGTCGGCGGTGTTCTTTCTACTTGGTAGTGTGGCAAACTTGAGGGTCTGATGCATGAACAACGCTGCCGAGAGAAAACCTTTCACGCTCAACCCGGCCATCTCTACTGGGCTCAAGAGGGGTCTCCGCTCTTTCGCAAACCCGCGAAAAACCCAACACTGCCTGTTCAGCATTATCCGGTCCTGGCTAGCGATCTTGTTGTCCATAGCCGACTGGCTCTCCTGAAGCCTGTCGCGTGGCAAGGTGATAAGAAAAACATCTTTGCACCAGAATCCCCGCGTAAACCCTGAATTGAAACAGCAGATGGACTGCTGATGCTGTGAACCTTGAGCCCGATGCAATGTATCCAGCACTGCGATCGCCAGTCGTTGATGCACGAACCCCCCTTGAGGGTTTCGGGTTGGGCGTGGAACTCAACATATCCCGTAACCCAAAACAGCTTTCCGTTGGAACATCCTGCTGCAAGCTTGCATCCTAAACCTCCACGGCCAACAAGGCTGAAAACTCTCGGAGTGTTCGACGATTTCCCGAATCATCGGGGCAGTTGCCTTAGTGACTTTAAGGTTTTTGTGTCCATGACTCTAACTGCAAGCCTGGAAAAAGCCAGCCCTGAAGCGAACCTGAGCCATGGATTCCGGAGAACGTCCTCCAGCTTCATCCTGCAAACTTGGGGCCGTTGGAGGTCGAAGGGATACCGCGTTTCAAGCAAAGCTCAATGTCCATGATACCGACCCATCGCAAACCCAAGTACGGACCAACCGACAAGCGGAGCGACAGAATAGCCTGTGCCAAGGAAAGGCCGTGCATCCTGTTCATCACATCCGATTACCCGAAGGGTTCCTTGCCATCACCTCAACTACCAGTCGTGTTCCCTTTACTTGCACCTTGCATCACATCTCGTAGGAACCATCCATTGATATCCTTGTGAGGGCACACAACCATAGCAAGTCGCAGCTAACAAATGACCGAAGAGCTACACGTTCTGAGGAGCTCACAGACGTGTAAGCCCCAAACCCAGACCACTAGCAATGTCTGCAGGAACCCCTCAAGAAGAAAGGCAGCTCTTCTGGGTTTGGGTTTGGTTTGACAGAGCTGCACAGAGCTGTACGCGTTCGCGGGCCTCGGGCCTAATTGCATTCAGAGCGAGCGGCGAACCGGCCTTGAGGGCTTAGAACTTGAGTGGATTCTTGATCTCGCGGAGCTGTCTCTTTTCCGGTTCTCTGTGCCCTCCACATCCGACACTCAACACTCAAGCAGAATCGGCCACCTCTGCTTGGGATCTGCACGAAGCAGGCCGCGGATGAGGTCCTTCCAGCTTGGGCTTTGGGCTTGGCAGCCCTTCGGGCATTCGGGGCTCGAGTAAGCCCCCTGAACCTGGTAATGCCCCGAGTGAGGAACCCCAAAACCATTCGCCTCGAATGCTGTTCTGATAACGGTGTCAGAAACCATGAACCACAAGCTCCACAAGGAAAATCATGGTTTTTATGCCTGCAAGTTTCGACTTGTGTTAGGGACTGTTGGTGTTATCGTAGGTTAACTGCGCACATAGCTCCCGTTGACAGCCAGGGCCTTTTCGGGACTGGCTGGAGCCACAAAGCCTAAGACCCCCGGCCAGAGAATCACCATAAGCGCCAAGCCCCACCACAAACCGCCGCGAAACCTGAAACCCTGGACCCCGAAACCCATCCGATCCGAGCTCTCGCGCCTTGGCGGGCCGCGAGATCTGCTGCCAGGTCGCATCCGACATGGGGAAGGTCTCCCTCTTCATCCTTGCATGACAAACTCAAGACCTTAGCTTCCTCCGGGTTGTGGGCCGATGGTTAAGGGTTGTCGACACGTCTTGTGGCGCGCAGTGTCTTTCGGATTTAGACGTGTCAAGGGCCTCGAAGGCCGTGAATTACCTGAGAAGCCCGACAAACCTAAGCCCAGACATAACAGCATGTGCTTCGGCCGCAGGTGCAAGGGGGTTACTGTCCGGGTGTAGATATTTAGGGTTGCGGGCACACCATCTAACTCCCAAGCCCCGTGCGGACCCTTAAACAACGCCGTGTCTAAACGCAACTGGCGCGCCTGCAGCCTTGGGCTTCTAACGACTTTGATGCTCGGGTTGTCCAGGGCTGTAGGGTCGATTCAGGTTACGGGCTTCTGTTGGAAATATGGCCAACCCCTCATAGCTCTTTGGACAGTTCGGGATTTTGCGCCTAGAGTGCGCGGTTTGCGCGAGTCGAAACAGACCATCTGCAGCAAGAAGACACCACGCAAGGCCAGCCTCCTGAGCTGTTCATTGTAGTTGCCCCAGAAGGGCGGTTTTCCGCAGAGCATCACCTGGAGTCATTCGAGGGGTTTTGCTCGACTCTACAGGGTATCTGTGCGTCCACACGTTCTTATTGCAAGTGAGTCCATTCTGTTCGAGCAGATCATTCCCTCTCCGGGTCTCCTCTTGGTTTGTGTCACTTTGGCCCGTTGGTGAGTACTTGTGACGCTTGTGCCTGGCCAAACACAGGCAGTGTGGCAACCATCGGTGAACCTCCCTCAATCGGCACCGACACCTTGATCCCGAAAACGGTACAACAATGATATACGCAAGGGAGGCCATGCACCTTCAAGGCCGGCCCAACACCAGGCCTTTCGATATTACACAACCCCCAAAAAAGAAAGGGGATTCCCAGAAGAGAACAAACCTGGCTGAGCTCCCGAGCGTAGGTCACCACCCCCAAGCTCCAGAGATCGCAAGCAGCCTTGGTCAGGAGGGGTTCAAGCGGCTTACACAAGTAGCCTTTGGCCGCTTTTTCTGGTGCTGTGAGGGTTCCCCTCTTTCTGGATGGGGAAGGGGGCGAAAACCAGAAGCCCTTTCGCCCCATATCCTGCAGCCCGAAAGCCAATAAACCTCTGAGGTCAAGGCTGTGTACCCTTGTTTCTCCTTCGCTTCCAGCACCTCGCACCCCGTCGCGCACAGAGGCAAACTACGAGCTTGGAGGTTCCAGCACCCGACACAAACCAGCACGGAGAGTCAAGGGTTTCCTTCTACCGAGCTACCTTGCGGCTCCAGGCTTTACACAACAGATCAGCTCGAAGTTACACACCTTTGTGGCTATCACAATCACAAGACCGCGCGCTTGCCATAGTCAGGCCCAAGTTCCAACATGCATTGAGCATTTTTTTGCGAAGTAGACAGACCCAAGGAGAGACATAACTGGCCCCGGACTAGCCGCAGCAAGGACGACACCGAGAACCCATCCTTTCTTCAGGTCCAAAACCTGACGTGACACCCGACAGCCAACAGCCCAAACAGCCCTTAATAACAGCAGTGCGTACACACGGCTGCCTCTGGTGCCGCGTACGTCAGGCTGCCAACTGCGGAGTTCATTCGCCCCTTGCAAGCAGGTGCTCTCCAGTGGCTTCTTAAGTTTCGTGTTTTTGACATCAATGCCCGACTTTAGTTCTTAGGGCTGGGGCGCTTCGACTATTAGCCTGCCACAGGTCCTGCGGCATTGCTTCAGCGATCGCACGAAGCTTCCAGTATAATGCAGATGTGGCTGAAGGCTCGGATTCTGGGATTTGGAGTTCTCTTGGGTTGGGTCTTTGCGCGACCTGGCTCTAGACTGTGGAGCTTCAGGGTGAGGATGTATGCGGGCTTGCTTCATCGAGGGCCAAATATTGACCTCCAGGCATGATCGATTCCGGTGCCCCGGGGTTTTCTTCGGGATTCATGGCTCGGGGATGTGGAGTCTTCTCAACGACTGTGGGTGGCAAGGATTCGGAGAAGGGTCTGCGGTTCAGGCTCGGGGTGTAGGGCAGTGCAGGGCTCGGAGTGGGCCAGAAATGGAGCTCTGGCAAACCTCTAGAGCCTGCTGCGGAAGACCATACTAGTCGAACAGAGCAGTCGACAAGCCAAATTAAAACCATAAGGATGAACACCACTAAAGATGATGAAGGTTTCGAAACACTGACACAGTGCTATCACTACGGGTGTGCACCGTGACTCCAACCCTAAATCCCACTAGTCCTGCATGTCACTTGTCACAGCAGTTCTGCCCAGGTTTCACACAACAGAGCTGGAAAGGCCCACCCTTCTAAAAACCACTAAGCCCGAAATCCCCTCTGAACGAACTAGTCTCAACAAAGCCCCGAAACCCTAAACCTCGACCCCGAACCCACAGCCCCGAACATCAAGCCCGATTCAAGAGCTAACGCCCTCTGCTGCAAAGCTCTAAACACCCGAAATCCCCAGCCGCAACCTAAACCATCAAGCATTGAAGCTCCCCAAGTCTGGAACCCCTGAACCAAGAGCTCCGCATCCTGAAATCCTTAACCGTAACTCCCGAGCCGCAGGTTGAAAAAAGGCTCGATATCAATACAGAAGACATTGCACAGACATGTTGAGACCCCTCAACTCCGCCAAACCCTAGCCCCAGACTCCCTTTACACCCTTTCCACAGGAGGTCCCCAAGTCCGAAAGCACCAAAAAACGCTTCCAGGCCTGACCGAAGTAGAAACCCAGGCCCCAGTCGATGAGCTGAAGGTTTGGCTTGGGGGTTTGACGTTTGCCTTTAGGGTAGACGTTGAGAGGGACTTTGAGATTCAGAGCTTTGGGGGTTTTCAGGGTCACCGGAAAGGCGTGAAAAGACTTTCAAGGATCTCTCGATAGAAAGGCCGATCAGTCTTGCAGGGCGCCGGGTTCAAGATCTTCGCTATTCCTTGTCGACATCGGTTCTTTTTTGTAGGGCGTTGGACGTGTCTCTTGTGTGTGCACGTTCGGGCGACAGGTACATCCCACAAACGGATGGAGGCCCCTATCGCTTACGGAAGCAAGGCAAAAAAATGAACTTAAAGGATGTTCACGATCTCAGGCAGTTCAGAGATCCCCTCTAAAGCTGGGAACCCGTCACGCTTGAAAACTTGAAGCCTCCAACCCTGAAGCCCGCAAGCAAGACTCTCTCTCTCTCTCTCTCTATATATATACATATATATATATATATACATATACACCTCACATGGCCTTGACGTGGTTGTTCGTCACATCCTTGCTGCAGAAGCCTCCGAGGCTCGGGTTGGGGCATCCCACGAGCCGGTGCCGGGGCAGTCGGGTAAAGTAGGGTGGCAGAGCCTACGAAGAGCGCAGTGCGTTACTGGAAGTACTGGGGTCTGGCGTTGCAGATTCTTTCGTTTACAAGCTCCACAACAAGTCTAAACACGTTCCAGCTTCTTCCGCCCCACCTGCGGGCAGGAATGTCTGCAAGATTCTTCAATGATCGCGGTACAATGAGGACCCGAATCCTAGATGGGACCTGTCAGCGCGAAGCTCGATTTTCTCGGTTTCGAGGAGCTCCAGATTCGCGTGATTTATCTGGGTTGTGGTTTTGGGTAGGAACCATAAAAGAAAATAATAAGAGTTTCCCAAAGTGCCACCTAGTAAGGGTAGGTCCCCTGTTGTTCAGCTATGGGGTGGGCTTTGAGTTTTGAAGCTTTTGGGAGGTGGCTCACGGATTGAGGGATGGGAGGGTCGGGCTGCCAAGGCCAAGATCCTTGCTTTGCTGCAGAATGAGAGA